TATATAGAGAGAGAGAGAGAGAGAGAGAGAGAGAGAGAGAAGAGAGAGAGAGAGAGAGAGAGAGAGAGTATGTGTGTATGTACGTGTGTGTCGAAATGAAGAAGGAAGCGGGAAGGAAGAGACTTATAATCTCGTTCCTTCGGTTTTTCCATCTCATGGCAAGGTATGTACAAGCTCTCTTGATTCTAGCTTGAGTCTCGACCCATCACAGAGCTTGGAGGCCAGAACCGCCTCCAACAACCCTTAAACCGCTGAAAGTTGTGGTTGTGTCAGATTTCTATTTTTGGGGTTATTTCCAACTCATTTACTGAGTCCTAATCCTTCATACTTTTGTTTTAAACTTGTACTAAACACTCTTGGTACTTGTGGAGTCAAGTAGAGGCTTTGAATAAAGGAAAACATCATGTTTTGACTTGTTTTGGCCCCGAGAATCTTAAATCGAAGGTTTCCTTTCGTAAATGATTTTCTCTAACCTTGAATTTGGTCTTGGTATCGTTATTCGTAACTTAATGTGTTATAACTCTAGTTTTGTAACTACACAAGCTTGAAAGACTCATGAATCATATTATTTTTGCTAGGAATAACCGGAAACACGAATTGGGGTTAAATGTTTGTCCCGTTGTATATTATTTGTGTGTTTGAATCTAAAAGAAGTTGCTAAAATACAACCACGGATGAAAAGATATAAAATACATTTTTAAGACCCATTCAACCAATTATGTTAAGGGCTTGATGGGTTAAGCCAAAACCTAAAGCCTCGGATGACTTCTTGATTCAAAGTTACATATGGATAGATTCATTGACCTGTCTTGCAAGGGTTGTAGAGGCCATTATGCTATGAATTAGACAAAATCACTTTAGAAACAAATTTGTGGAAAATCGAATCTAGTTTCCAAAAACTCCGATTTTAGACCATTTGGAGTAGTAGATTTTGTTTTATGCGCAAGACGGTAGACATGGGTCAAGCTTTCTAAAACTCTAATAAAATGAGCGTAAACCTAATCGTAATATTAACTCTATATGCGTGAAAGTAGTAAACTTGAAAACATATAGTAATAAGATTGTTTGTGTTGTATTATGGGAGGTTTTGATAATGTCAAATGTTCACGAGATTTGACGTGTGAATGAGCGTTTCCGTGAAAAAGGTGAGCCAATCCTTGTTGCAATTCTAGTACATTGTTTCCAAAAAGAAATTACTTGTAAGGCTGTTAATAGTGTTAAGGATGGTGAAAATTATGGTTATGTAGCCCGTGTATGTGGGAAAACACATAAGAGGTTGTAAGGGAAAATATGTCCAACATAATTTTTAAGGGAAAAACCATCAAAGGTTGGGATTTAAATGCTTCTCTTGTCACTATTGTATCTGAAATTTAAGATGAATAATTTCTTGATTTTTATCTTCAAAGCAATGAAAAAATAATTATGTTTGGTCAATATGATCTTTAACTACTACAAGTAACAAAAAGATTTAAGATGTATGGATTATATGAGTCATCCATAGATATCCATGAAGTATAAATTAATGTTATAATCAACTTTATTGTAATTATGTTATTTCTAAGATGAACTTAAATGGAATGGGTCTTGAAAGTTTGTCTTGCAGCTGTTGTTACAATGTTAGTGGTTTTATTATATACTCATACACACTAAAGTTAAATGGAATGGATTGAATTCTAATTCCTTAGAGCAAGAGATTGTTTCTCTAATGTTCTTATGCGTATTTAATTTATTTTTGTTATCCAAATGAGGGTTATAAGGTAACTTGTTAGTTTATCTTTAACCCCCATTTATATTATTTGAAACTTATAATACCTTTTTCTTTTAGTTACCTTGCGGAGACTCTTGGTGTATGCAATGGAAAAGTGGAGGAGCTTCTAGGGTATATAGTTTATGTTCAAGGTGAAGATGAAAACAAATTTTAGAGTCCTTTGTTAGGTTGCTTCCAAAAATGGTTTTAAGTTTGAGGAGAATGGTCCCATTTTCTTGGTAATATTCATTGTATTGTTAGTGATATTAAATGTAAACCAAGTTGAAAGAAACAAGCTGATTGAAATTTTAAAAGAGATTAAAGAGGACAATGAAAAAAAACATGTTGAACTAGAAGCTATGTGAATAGAAATTAACAACTAACGAGAAAACTTTGAAGCCATGATGCGGAAGTTTACAAAACAACAACATTCAGAAGGTTGATAGTTTCTAATATTATTTATCATCTATTTTCATTACACGTCTATGACATTTTTAATACGTTTTTGTGATTATAGCTGACAACATTGTGTTGATTTAGATTTATGGTTGTTATTTTGAATGTAGACATATGAAAGGAGACCATAAAATTACATAACATAATGATGTTATTATTGTTATGGTGTAATTTTAGTAGTAATTAACATTTGTAGTAATGTAGTAACACATATGTAGCGTCTGCATGACTAGAAAAAAGATGTTGCATTACCATTAGAAAAGTCACAAAACTAAAGTTGTATTTGATTGTAACAAGGTTGCATTTTTTGCAACTAAAGACGTAACAAAAGTTTCATATATAATAGAGAAAGGTTGTAACTCTTTACTAGAAACATAATAAAGGTTGCAATTGAATATAAAATAAGTTGCATTTTCGTAACTAAACTAGTTAAAAAGTTGCCTCTAAGTGTAAAAAAAGTTGAATATGAGCATAAAAAAAGTTGTTTTTGCATAATAAAGGTTGCATTAAAAAATATTGCATCCACAAAAGATTTGCAACTATTTTCGAAAGGGTTTCATTTTCCAAGAAAAATGATGTGTTAGGTCTAATGCAACCTTTGATAAAAGGTTTCTTTAGGCATTATTTAACTATTTAAGGCCTAATGTAACCTTTTAGTGGTGTTGCATAAGCTTCATTTTGTTGTAGTGGAACACGATGATTGGCGCAAATTATTTCAAACCCATTGTGTTTGTTACAGACAGTTCTACAAACAAAATCAGTGACTTGGAATGGAGAAAAAATTATGGCATAGTCAAGATATGTATTTATGGCACATTAACACAATGTCTTCTTTAAATGATTTTGAAGAACAAAACTCGCAAGTCAAGTGTAGAAGAGCCTTGAAGATCTTATTGTTTAAATAAATATGTGAAAGCGATGACAACTACACAATGAACGTTGTAACATTGTTATTAATGACTCGTCCATCGTGAAGTATTGCACCCCAATAAAAACCAAATTTGAACTTCTCAACAATATCAACACCCATCGTTCTAGAAAACACTTGGTGATGTACATGTATGGTCACATAAAGAGTTTGATTCGATACCGATATCTTCTTCCCACTTTTTTAGAGACAAGATCAATGTTGCTTTATGAAGAGCAACAATTGGAGTAAACGCACAATCAATCCGTTCAAGCATCTCATGACGATAATTTATCTC